GGGCTGACTCGAACCGCTGTTGCTCAGAGCTCAAACTCTTGAGCGAGCTCTTAACCAACTGAGCCACTCAGCCGGCCCCTAAATATTATTATATGCCGTTTGCTGGGGCTACTGAAATAAAAAATAGTCCTTTTCTTAGGGAGACTACATAAAATCATAGTATATTGTGTGGTTTGTAAACTACCGGTAGTGTGATAGGAAAGATCTCTTAGAGGACAGTGGTACCTGAGGTGGATCTTGAACACTAAAGAGAAGTTAGCCAAGAAAAGGAGGCAGATAGATCTACTAAAAGAAGGAGGTAGTATCCTCCCAAGCCTAGAGGCAATTGAAAGAACTGCATATTTCTTGTGCATGTGGATCAGCAGTGTAGGGTTATGTGCAGATAATAGGAGATTGGTTGGAGAGGGTCAGATTTTGGAAGGTGTTATATGCCAAACTGAGGTATTTGGATTTTATTTTAAAGGCTATGGTTAGCTATTGATGGATTTTTAAGGCAGGGTGTGACTAGATGAGATTTGTTTTTAGAAAGACCACTCTGTCCAGTGACATAGAGGGTTAGAAGAAATGAGCAAAACATGACAGAGATACTATTATCACGTGGATTCAATTTATACATATCAGTGCTCTAAGGCAGGTGCTAAGTGAGATGCCATTCATGTGCATAGGAAGGTTATAAATGTGTAGAATACAACACATTTTCTGTCTACGTATTATCTAGATGATGTAGTTTTTCTAAAAGTTTTTTCCCAATTTTTTATTTTGAAAACCTTTAACCTATTGAAAAGATGAAAAAAAAAACAACCTTATACCCATCATCTACATATATTGTTAACCTCTTACCAAATTTGCTTTTTCTTGTAGGGTTCATATTGCATGCCCTCTTCCCATATCCTCCAAGCATTCTACACACACTTTTTTTTACTGATCCATTTGGAAATAAGTCGTAGACATGACATTTCCCCCAAAACTTTAATATGAATCTCCTAAGAATAAGGTTATTCTCCTACACAACCACAATATCATTATCTTATCTAAAACATATTAATTCATTAATATTGTCTAATAATGCAGCCTATATCCAGAGTTCCCTAATTGTCTAAAAATGTTTTTATAGCCTTTTTTGTTTTAACCCTTAAAAAAATCCAATATCCTTTCAAGATTGATATACCTAAATTGATTGATTCAGCACTAAAAAATAGTTTCCCATTTACCACATCTCCTGATTCCTACTTTAGGACCTTTAAATATTTTAAATTCTGTGATTTTGTATCCTTGTGTGAAGAGGTATGAATTACCTCTTGTCCTTAGAAGAAGGCATAGGTGGATTGACAGAAGGATGAATAAATGGATAGATAGCCATGAAACTAATGATTTCTCCAGTCACCTAAAAGACATATATATAGAAAAGCAGATACTTGGTTTGTTTTAAATAGTGTTATTATTAGCACATGTGTTACTCTTAGCATTTCAGAACTAGAAGAGACGTTAGTAATGAACTAATTTATATCCCTTCCTTTAAATCTGAGGGAACAAGCTCAGGAAACCTAAGTGATTTGAAATAGTGGCAGACAGAAATAGATTTTATTTTCTTGATTTCAGTTTTATATTCTTCCTGCTGTACCACTCTTTTTGTGGCCAAAGCAGATAATGACTGAAAGGTTAAATTTAATTGGAGGCCAAAAAGACCTATGCTGATAGAAAATTTGAGTATGGGGCAGATTTTATCAAAGACAGTTCTGTAATGGCTTAACATTTATTTGCATTGATCCTTAAAGTTAGACAGAAGACATTCTGTGAAAATGTCTTTTTGTACCCAAATTAATTGTTGGTCACTTTAATTATCCTCTTGGTTTATTATATTTATTTCCAATTAACTGTTGGGAGTGTTCCAGTATTAAATATGCTCTCTTAGATAAAAATTTGCCTCTTAAAATATTTAAAATATTGTGGGGGAGAAAAAGGTTTGAATGTTATTTCCAAACTTTATTTTGCAATGATAACCACAAAGGAGGCAAATGTCTTGTGAAGGTGGTTTACTTTAAAAAACATCACACTTATTTGAATATATAAGGGATTGTATGTTTTATTTTTTTTTTTTTTTAAGATTTTTATTGAGGAATTGGGGGGATGGGAACAGTGCTGGGGAATTGGGGGAAGGGGAACAGACAAGTTGCTGTCGTTTTGTTCTTCAGTCTAGTTGTGGAGGATGTTGCTTCACTGGCCCAAGTTGGCACCATCATTGCGCTCTTCCTGGGCAAGGCAGATCAGTCGCCGGCTTCTGGACGGCCGCTCACTGCGGCTGCTGGCCGCTCACGCCGGCTGCTGGCTACATACGGTACCCTATGGCAACCCACTGCCACAGGGGCTGCAGCCTACGCCGTCGCCGGCGACTCAGGGCAGTCCAGCTCCAGGTTGAGCTGTTGTTCAGCATCTTAGCTGTAGAGGGCAGTATCACTGACCCTCATATGTGGAAACCGAACCAGGGCCCTCTGGCGTCCCAAGCCAGTTCTTAACCATCGCGCCACTCGGCCGGCCCGGTATGTTTTATTTTTAAATCAATTGTACAGGTTTTAGTTATAGTCCATATAATGTATTTTTTGTTGTTGTTTATTTTGCTACTTCATTTAGATTGTTCTAAATTTGAATTAGCACCTTGGATTTCTCTGGATAGATACCTAAGAGTGGAATTGCTGGGTAATAAGGTAGTTCCATTTCCAGTTTTTTGAGATCCATACTGATTTCCATAGTTATTGTGCTAAATCTGAAATAGGTGAAAACAGACACATGAAACTGACTAATCTGCTAATGAACCTGGATATTAGGTATGGCAGGGAGACAGGTATTTAGCCTGCTTAAGAGAAGAAATGGCATATACATTTCATGACAACTCTTTTGCTTTAGGTGATAAGCTAATTAAAAATAGCTCTCAATCCACAGATTTTTTGCAGAATGAAAAACCCTCAAACAGACCACAGCTGGCTTCTGCTAAATGAGAGGCTGAAAAGCTATAATGCTCTTTCTACACAGAATGGGGCCAGTCCCCCCCCCCCCCCCCCCGCGTGGGTGCAAAGACCTCTATACTAAAAGACATATATGAAAGGAAAAGGGGAGGGGTCTGGAGTTTATTAATTTTGTCTTCTTTATGTGGAAAAAAAAGTTCTGAATTACTTTCTAAAGCAGATCACAAAAAAGTGTCTTCCTTAGATTCATTGCATAATTGCTATATAATTGAAACTTGTTTTAAATCTAGATTTTAAATCTTCATTTCAATTTTCACTTCAACTGATTTCTTTTTTCTGTTAGCTTGAATTATCAAGATTTTGGTACAGTGTCTATAATTGAAATGTTAAATTTGGATAAATGGAAGCTTTTGGCTCTATTTTGTTTTTTGAATGTTTTATATACATACATATATACATACATATATACATATATACACACATGTATATGTGTGTGTGTGTGTGTGCGTGTGTGTGTGTGTGTGTGTGTGTGTATGATCTATTTATTTATGGGTTTTAATTTACCTTTTAGGATTATTAAAATGTGCTAAGACCAATTCTGTGGAATCTCTTCCGGAACTATTGACATCAGACTCTGAAGGAAGCTATGCAGGAGTGGGTAGTCCTAGAGATTCACAGTCCCCTGATTTCACAACAGGATTTCCTTCAGATAAGTCGGAGGTTTGTTTTTACTTGTTTATTAATGTACTATTTTCTTAACTTCAAAATTAGGTCTATCGACAGTTTATCTTTAGTTTTATATTATTTTTACTTTAAAATACTGTTCTGCTTGGTTTATAATAAAATATAATTAATGACATAATATATGTAGTATTAGTTTTCTCAAGCTTGCATAATGTATCTAGTTTTAAAGATTTTAATGGCAGTTTTGAGCCATGTATGATGTTTTATTTCTAATCTTTCTGCAACTAAAATACATATTGATGTAAAAGTATAAGACCACTACAAACCTATTGAAAAATATAACTAAATTACTTGAAAATTATTTTGCGAAATGTCATTTAATACCAGCTAAAAATTGTCAAAGGAAAATGATTTTGAATGGAAGCCTAATTTCAAGTTCTGCATGGCCGCTTTCCTCCATGGTGTTAACTGGAACAATACAATCTGGAATGGAGTTCCTCTCCTAGTCTAACACAATTCATATTAAGCTGCAGAATTCCTAGTCTGGTCAACTCTGGAGATGCCATTTTTTAAGCATCTCTTAACATTGTATTCCATAATGGTTAATCTACAAGGAAGGAAAATATGTAACATTAAATACAGTCTTTTTTTTTTTTTAAGATTTTTTTTTTTTTAATTGGGGAATTGGGGGATGGGAACAGTGCTGGGGAATTGGGGGAAGGGGAACAGACAAGTTGCTGTCGTTTTGTTCTTCAGTCTAGTTGTGGAGGACGTTGCTTCACTGGCCCAAGTTGGCACCATCATTGCGCTCTTCCCAGGCGAGGCACATCAGTCGCCAGCTTCTGGACGGCCACTCACTGCGGCTGCTGGCCGCTCACGCTGGCTGCTGGCTACATACGGTAGTCCATGGCAACCCACTGCCGCAGGGGCTGCAGCCTACGCCGTCGCCGGCAACTCACCACAGCCCAGCTCCAGGTCGAGCTGTTGTTCACCATCTTAGCTGTAGAGGGCAGTGTCACTGGCCCTCATGTGGGATCCGAACCGGATCCCTGCTGCTCAGAGCTGGTGTCCAAAACCAGCTTTTAACCAATGCGCCACTCGGCCACCCCAGAAGTCGCGCTTTTAACCGAGCCCCTCGGCAGGCCCAGGATCCCTTTTTGAAGTGTCAATATTATTTGACTTTAATTTTATTCAGAATACTTTAATTATATTCAGAGTGAATTATATGACATACCAAATTTGAATATTAAATTAATGGACTTTAATTTTGAAGTTACTGCTTCATATCTTATTTGAACAACTGATATTAACATTTTTGTTTAATACTCATGTAAATAGAGATTTAATATGCAAACTTTTTTCCCTAAAAATTATTCCCAAAGCTCACAATAATTGGGTTATAGTCACTGATTCAGTTTGAGAATTGGGTAAGGCCCTAAACTATAGAACTGAATGTAAAATGCTGAATGATTATTGTTATGAGATTATAGTCTTTAATATAATTTAAGCAATATTTAAGTACCAGCTATGTGTTAGCTACTTGGCTAGGTTCTGGCTTTTTTATTCACTTTTTAATTTTTTTTTTTTATCCCCAGGGGAAAAGTAAACCATATGTTAATGGTACACCTCCTACATATTCTAGGGAAGATGTAAAACCATGGGAAAAATCGCCAGTACTTAAAGTATCTGCTCCACAGTCCATTCCTAGTAACAGAATTGATACTTCAAGCTCTTCCAATTGGGCTGCTGGCTCTTTCAGGTAGGATATTCATTTTGTGTCACACCTGTTAGTCTGAAATATTTATATTTAATCAAATGAAAAATTTTAATGAAGCACATTAAAAAATATTAATACAGATTTCTCATATAATACACAGAAAATTACTGAAATGCATATAAATTACTAATCAGCTAAAATGGGCTCAATTTTTCCATACAAAATTCAGTTGCCTCTGTATTGTCATCTGTTAATACTAGTAACTACTGCAACACACACTGACCTTTTTTTTTTTTTTATCTGTGATAGTATATATTAGTTAAAACTCCCAGGTCCCACTCAGGAAGACTATTTTGTCATTTGTAAACTTTATCTTTTATTTATTTTTTTAGCACATTAAGGGGTATTTAAGATCTCACAAAATGTATTGTTATTCACAGTTAATTTTCAGAAGATGTTCATGTAATGCTACTGTGCTTTTAACCTATGTTTTATCCATATTTTTCTTTTATTTAGAAAAGTCAGTTTTTAAAACTATAGGAGTAGATATAATTAAAATGCAATATTCTTTTTCAGTGTTTATTGACCTTGTGATTCATCTTTATATACCTACTATGGTTTATCATATTCTAAAACTGTTGTTATAATTGACTTACCAATTATCTGGATGATTTGTGCAATTATTTTGAAATATGCTGTATTTTGCACAATTGAAACAAAGATTATGTGCTAGTGTATGTTGCTTCATGATCTAAAGGTAGTTCAAGAATGAATTCAAATTTTTTGCCTTTCTAAGTAAATATACTTGTGAGAACACCTAGAAACGCCTTCTAATCACTAATGTTAAACTATTTTATTAAACATCTTTTAAGACTAGCTTTGTGTAAAGTCAGCAAAATATATTGGGTATTTCTAAAGATTGTAGAATTTTTTTTCTCATTGGTTTACTCCCTCTGGTGGGTCTAATATTGAGCATCCCCAACTTTTTCCACTAAATTTAGTTTTGTTAACATTAGATTATGTTAATTTTTTTGTTGAAAATAAGAGGAAAGAATATAATTTTTTTAAGTTCCATTTATTTTGAAGGATAAAAATTTAAAAGAACTTTGAGTCCTTCTGCCTAAGTTAGGTAAGTTAAGGATATCTCTATTGTTTGTCTTTTTGTTTAAGAGTTTCAATTATATCACTTAACATTATGACTTTGGATTCATTTTAGTTGTTCTTTATGTATTTTTACATAAAAGTAGCTTTCATTCAAAATATCTTATTTTGAAGTTGGCCACAGCTGATGAAAAAGACCTAAATTATCCTCTCATTATAAATCTTATATATATATATATAGTTTCAGTGAAGTTTGGAAATTGGACTTATGGATAAATGAATGTATTGTAAAAAGACTTTTATATGTCTTTTAGTCCTGTCAGCCCTCCTGTCATGGATCTCAGAACCATCATGCAAATTGAAGAAAATAGACAAAAATGCGGAGCTACACCAAAGACAAATTTGGGGTTGGTTAAAAAAATCATAAAAAAGGATAGACCATGTTATTATAGTTCCTCCCTAAAAACTGGAAAGACCTACTGACCTTTCTTATTATTTTTCTGCATTTTAAGTTAAAGTAAATTATAAGCTCTTTTCTAGGTAATTTAGCCTCCCTAACATTATTTCCTAAATATACAGTAAAGATTTAGTTGGGATGATAATCCAGTTCTTCTAAAACATAGGATTTACCTCTAAAATGATGACTGTGGACTAGTTCTGATGCAACTGTATTAGTAAGTAGGAAGTTCATATGTAGCTATTACTTAGTCATTGATAGTATAAACTGATATTGTCACTGTTGAAACTTGTGGACCATTTTGTTCCAATAATACTAAAACTACATCAAACAAACAAAACAATATAATTACCTATAACCTTCATTAAGCAGAAATTAATGTGATTGGTTTAATTTCTAGCAAAATGATTTCTTATGAAATTAAACTTTGTTAAGCAGTACTGAAATTAATTGATTTAACTTAATTTCTAGCAAAATGATTTCTCCTGGAGTAAAACTTTCTCAGAAGCAAAGAAAAATGATTGCAATGACTACCAAAGAAAATAATTCAGGAATGAATAGCGTGGAAACAACTTTAACTGCTTCATTCAAAACCTCAAAACCTGCACACGCATGGTAAGCTCTAATTTTTATTAAATAAGCATAGATCTGTGCATTAGCTTGTTTTCTTAAATAGTATTATTTATGTGATGATTTCTTTTTATTTTTCAATTGACATACAATATTATATTAGTTTCAGGTGTACAACATAGGGATTAGGCATTTATATAACTTACAAAGTGACCACCCTGATAAATCTAGTACCCATCTGAAACCATACATAGTTGTTATAATATTATTGACTGTATTCCTTGTGCTGTACTTCATATCCCCATGACTATTTTGTAACTGCCAGTTTGTACTTGTTAATCTCTACCTGTTTTTCACCCACCTTCTTAACCCCCGCCATCTCGCAACCATCAAAATGTTCTCTATACCTATGAGTTTGTTTCTGTTTTATTATTTTTCTTTAGATTCCACATATAAGTGAAATCATGGCATTTGTCTGTCTTTCTCTTACTTACTCCATTCAAAACAATATCCTCTAGGTCCATCCATGTTGTTGCAGATTGCAAGGTTTCATTCTTTTTTATGGCTAAGTAATATTCCATATGTGTGCACCACTTCCTCTTTATCCATTCATCCATTGATGGACACTCAGGCTGCCTCCATATTCTGGCCACTGTAAACAGTGCTGCAATGAACATAGGGAGCACACATCCCTTTGAAGTATCATGTTAGGTTTCTCTGGATAAATACCAGGAAGTGGGACTACTGGGTCCTTCCTTGTTTTAAAGTCTATTTTGTCTGGTATGAGTATTGCTATTCCAGCTTTTTGTTTGTTTCCATTTTCATGAAATTATCTTTTTCCATCCCTTTTACTTTCAGTCTGGGTGTGTCTTTTTGATCTGGAGCGAGTCTCTTGTAGGCAGCATATGTGAGGGTCTTATTTTCATATTCTTTTAGCCACCCTATCTTTTGATTTGAGCATTTAATCCATTTACATTTAAAGTAATTGTTGACACATGTAGTTATTGCCATTTTATTATTCACATTTCATATCTTTTTTTCCTTCTTAAATCCTTTTCACATTACTTATAATACTAGTTTGGTGGTGAGGAACTGTTTTAGCTTTTTCTTGTCTGGGAAGCTCTTTATCTGTCTTTCAGTTCTAAATTATAGCTTTGCTGGGTAGAATAATGTTGGTTGTAAGTCCTTACATTTTATAACTGAATATTTTATGCCAATCCCTCCTGGCCTGCAAAGTTTCTATTGAGAAATCAGCTTACAGTTTTATGGGAGCTCCCTTGTAGGTAACTAACTGCTTTTCTCTTGCTACTTTTAACATTCTCTCTTTATCTTTAACCTTTGGCATTTTAATTATGATATGTCTTGGTGTGGGTCTCTTTGGGTTCATCTTGTTTGGAACTCTGTGCTTCCTGGGCTTGTATGTCTGTTTCCTTTACCAGGTTAGGAAAGTTTTCCATCATTGTTTCTTCAAATAGGGTTTGAATCCCTCTATTTCTCTCTTTTCCTTGTAGTAACCCCTGTGATAGAAATGTTGTTACACTTGATGTTATCCCATAGGTCTCCTAAACTGTCCTCATTTGTTTGGATTCATTTTTCTTTATGCTGTTCTGATTGCGTGCTTTTTGCTACCTTCCAAATCACTGATTCAATCCTCTGCTTCATCTATCTAATCTGTGTATTCTTTTTTTTTTTTTTTTTTTTTAGCTGAGCCATCCTGCCACCAGTTGGCAGCTCAGCGGCAGCTCAACTCGGGCCGTGAATCAAACTGGGGACCCTGTTGCTCAGAGCTCAAACTCTTGAGCGAGCTCTTAACCTACTGAGCCACTCGGCCGGCCCCTAATCTGTGTATTCTTAATTGCAGTTTTTGTGTTTGTTTTTGACTGGTTCTTTCTTATGGTTTCTCTGTCCTTTTTTATGCTTATTACTATCTCTTTGTTGAAGTTCTCATTAAGTTCCTTGACATCCTTATAGCCATTGTTTTGAACTCTATCTAGTAGAGTGCTTGCCCCATTTTGTTTAGTTCTTTTTATGTTTTCTCCTATTCTTTCATTTGGAACACATTTCTGTCTCCTCATTTTGGCCTTTTCTCTGTTTGTTTTTATGTATTACGTAGATCTGCTATGTCTCCCAGTCTTGGTAGAGTGGCCTTATGTAGTAGGTTTCCTGTGGGGCCCAGTGGCATAGTCTTCCTGGTCACTGGAGCCGGTGCTCCACGTGTGTCCTTTGTGTAGGTTGTGTGTGCCCTCCTGTGATAGTTGAGCCTTGGTTGCTGTTTGCATGTCATTTGAAGGTATTGAGCCTTGGGCTGACTGGTGATTAGGATGGGCCATGACTACAGTGGAGGAGCTGTTGTGCAGGGGCTGACCCTGCAGAGCAGAATTTGCTTTAGCAGGGTTCTAGTGCCAGCCCAGTCTGCCTTTTGGATGTGTCGTTCTTGGAGGCAGCTGGGTGGTGCCCCTTCTCAGTCTGAAGCTGGCCATTGGACATGCTGACCCCAAGGACTCCTGGGAAGGTCCCTGCTGCAGGCCAAATTTTGCTGTAGCCTGCACCCTGCCCTGGGCCACCTGGCATGAGCCACAAAGCAATCTGCAGATGGTCACAACCCACACTGGGCTTGGAGGTGGTGACTCAAGCAACCAAGTTGTGAACCAAGGCTGGCTGTTAACCAATACCAGGTTTGGGGCTGCCTAACAAAAGGTTTGGGATAAGCCAAGGCCAGATGCAACTTGTTGTGGGTTCATGAACCTTTGAGAGATTTTAGGAAATCTAAAATTCAAATCTAAAATTGCAGCATGAGCCAAGACAGACTGTTTATATGGAAAAGCCACTGGAAGTTGCTTGGGTGGGCATACAAGTTAAGTGGGATGGGGTCTCAGGGAATCACCAGAGAGAGGCAAAGAGTGTTAGCCAGGTTGATGGAGACTCAGATATGGTGGCCATGTGCATCTATATGCCAGAACTGGGAGGGCTCAACAAAGAAACAATGGATTCTGCCAGGACTACCATCTGGGAGAAAGCTGCCCCTCTGCTCCTCACCCTGTAGCCAAACAATTCAATTCCTCCGTGTATGTCTCTGGTGTCCCAGCTCTGGAGCTCAGGGGGCGAGTAAGTCCATGCCTGGGCCCTTTAAGAGGAGCACCTGGGAGTTCGGCTGCCCTCCCCCTCACTTAGCCACAATATCCACTGTATTTCACAGCCAGAAGTTGTGGGGACTTCTCTTTCTGCACTGGCACCCTGGGCTGGGTACCCTGGTGTGGGGCTAGGACCCCGCACTCTTCTGGAGTGGACCTCCTCATCTGAGATATTCCTCCCCATTTTTAATGATCGCACATGAGAGAAGGTATGCACAGTAGTTACCTACTCCTGCATCTTGACTGGAATGTATTAGCTTTAAAGGTAGTTATTGGTTTCTGGGTTCCCCCCCCATCTTTTTTGAGTACTCCATTTCCCTCTTTGCTTTTAAGTTAAAAACCGGATCTTAGGAAATAAAGATGTTATTTTTGTTTGTTTTGACAAGTATATCATGGTTTTCAAAAGTTTTTTGTACATAGATATAATTTCTTCTTGGTATTTTAATTAGTGTTTAATGCTAAAGCATTTTAAAGGGCATCTTTTTTTTCGTTTTCTATAAAATAATATGTATCTTAGAAACATTTGACAGCAAATGTTTTTTTTAACCATAGAAAAACTTTATGAAAGCCAACATTTTTTTTTTCACTGATGTCCTTCTGTATGCATCATGTACCTTTCGATTGTTAGAATCAAAGCTTGTACTTACTGCTTTTTTTAAGCAGGGCCATTTACATATTGGGTTATTGGAAAAGTCATGACGTATTTTTTGTTTTTCGTTGCAAAAATGCTTCATGACTTTTCTGACAACCCAATAACATTGTATAAGTTTTCTCTATTAGAATTTACCTGTAATGGTATTAATAGTAATAATCTACAAAGAGGTCAGATAGCAATTTTGAGATGTGTAAAATACGTTGTACTTCCTGCTCCCCTTCCATCTTCCTTTTCTTTATAACCGATAATATAATAATTGGAAACCAATTCTAGAAAAAAAGTACATGGATAGTGTGAAGGGCAAGAAAGAGATCAGTAGAACCCAGTTTCTCACAGGCATTGAAGAGGATCTTGGAGGCCACCCTTGATTTGGGGGAATGTCTTCATTGCTTTTAACACCACATTTTTCTATTTGTAAGAGGAAATACTTTTCCCAATTAAAGTGTAAAATATTTTGAAGAGAGTGACAACTCATGTTACTTTGAGTGCCACCAACAGGACTAAAATCATTGTCTGTCAGAGCCATTAGTAGATCTAAAGCGTCATCACAAGAAAAAGAAAGAAAACTAAGAGGGTGGAAAAACCTAAGTTAAAAAAGAAGAGTATGTAAAACTTTAGCGAATGGGTTTAGTAGAATGTTTCAATTAACCAACATTTGTTGTGTACCTTCTATGTGCAAAGCACTCTTCTAGTTTCTGATGGTTAAGGCAGTATACAAGACTGATGTGGTCACTATCTCTGCAAGGTTTATGGGGTAGCTATTACAACATTGTGTTGTATTTTCCCTAATCAAAACTATTGGAAAAGGTTTTAAAAAAAAAGCTCTTGGATCTCAAGATAATATATTGCAATTTGAGATACTTAACTAAGTACATGAGAAAACTTTGGGCCTACTAATACAGTTTTAACCATGCCATCAATTAGTTTATTTAAAAATGAAAAGTAAATGAACAAAAGAAGGAACAAACAATGATCACTCAAATTAGGGAATCCAACTAATGGACATATGGAATTTTTTGGTTCAGAATCTATTTCAAACATAGGAATTCATTTCAGCCCAATAAAATAAAAATTTTTAATTAAATTAAAACAAAAACAGTTTAAAATTTCATATGTAGTAATACTCTAAGGCTTGCAATGAAAGACAGCTGTCCCCTGCCACAAATCTTCCCTTTCATGACTGGTTAATTATCTTGAGTAAGATTATGTTTACTTTTTTTTATACTTTTCTATTTTTTTTCCTACAATAACTAATTTCC